AGGATGCCTTCATCTGCCCCTCGCTGGAGGGCCCTTGCCAAGGCAAAATCAGCATGGTATGCCATGGCTGGCCGTCACCACAGAGATCCTGAAGCTCCACCACAATCCACGGCCACACTGGGGCAGATGACAACAGTCAGTCCTATGGAGGAATAGGAGGGCAATTTGCCCTGGAACCCACCTGAAGGGAAGATTGCTTAAAGCCTCACCTTGCTGGCCTCCGTGGGACTGTGCACGCTCCGAGGAGGATGCAGCCGGCACAGCTACATGTGTTCTTCAGCACGGAAGCGCAGCTGGTTATCAGCATTCCCATGAAGGCCAGCAGCCGGGGCGCCTTCGGTGACTGCAGGAAAAAGCAGGTCCTTTTGGGCATCTCTTTCAACGTTTGCAAACCACAGGAGACAGAGCAACACCCTCATTTACAAAGGCAGCGATACCTGTGCTCATCGCTGGTGCTTCTGGTGCTTTGTTACCAAACAACGAGCTGCTTGCTTTCTGCTGCACGTGCTACCACAGCCAAATCCTGCCAGGTCAGAGCTGTGCTTTCAGTGCAGCCAGCGGAGCAAAGACACTTAATGCCCAACAGAAGTAGGGCAAACACTGCAGTTAATGTCATAGAATGCAAAAAACCATCCTGAAGGCTCATCCTAACCTTCTGTTTCCTTGTCAACACAGATTTATTTACAGTCAGTACCACAGGGACTAGATTCGAGTAGCAGTGGCGGTGTTATATCCATATTTTTAATGGGATTTGACATTTAAGGTAGCATTTCAGTTCACCTCTAAGCCTGTAATTACACTTGCAAATCTGCTTAGCAAGACATCAGCAGAGCATCCCAGGGGACTGCTCGCACAGATTGGTTCTGTTCCCACAGAAGCAGCGTTTGAGTACCAAGTGATGCTACAAAGCAGACACTGCCGAGTGCAGTGCCTGACACAGACAGTTGCAAACTAGACCCACTCCTGATCTTCAAAATAAAAACAAAACCAAAGACCGCAAAGAGCCTTCTCTTCATCTTCAAAGCAACACTGCGCTGAGTCAGGTACCACTGGAGGTCAGGAGCACTTCATGAATACACTGCTGAGGCAGGACTCCTTTCTACACCCTGCTGGTTATCTTCGGTCTCACGAAATCTGCAAACGCAAAAAGTACCAGAGCAACCCAATGATAAAAGACTGTTTGTCACCTCCTGGTCTGGAACCACGACAGCCCAGTGCTGAGAAGCACCTTTACATCTCCTGCACAAGTGCAGCCTCTGGCCAGCATCTCCCTCCTGAAGGAACCCAGTCAGATTTCTCCTTTCACTGTAGCCCTACCACCACCAAATTTTTGAGAGCAAACTGATGCTCTGGACTATATTTTGCCCCCAATTTACACACCCACCCCTCTGTTGCACCCAATTTACACCACCCTCCCCAAAGATACAACTGGAACCACATAAAGTGCATACGAAGTACTCAGCTGGGACTCCATTGTACACTCAGTCCTCTTCAGGTCTTGGAAAAAAACAAAATCTGATTTGTTCAGCTTTGGACTTTTCATCCATGCCCATGGGAGGCAAAGTGAAGGATCTCCTTCTCTCACAAGCCACCTGAGCAGATCCTTCTGTGGGATGCAAACAGTTTCATCCCTGAGTTCAGCTTTAAGAGAAAAAAACGCAGTCCTCGGCCATCGCCACCCTAGCGCCAGAAGCAAAGGGACCATTTAGCACAGAGCTCTTTGCTGCGGAAACAAAGAGTGAACAAGCAGGACAAAGCTGGGAAAGACAAAGAAAAGCAGAAAGATGATATTTTGTATCATAACAAGGAAACAGACGGACACCTGAGGCCAAAGGTTTGGACTAGTAGAGGAGGAAAGCTTACAGAAGGTAGACTGTGCTGTTCAACAGCAAAACCTTTGCAGCCCTCATTTGGGAGCAGCCTGGTACCTCCATCACCAACGATCCCAAACAGACAAGAAAAACAAATCTAGAGAGCACTCCCAGAGACATAAATCCCTCAAGGCCATTTCAATGACTTGAGCAAAAGTCGAGGTCTTCTCTTTTTTCCCAGCAGGGATGACAAGACACTTTGTCCAGCTCAGTGCATAAAGTTCTCTCCTCCTCAGCAAGACCTCTCCTAGCTGACCGAGGTGCAGTTCAGCTCGGCAGGGTCCTGCCTACCTGCTGCCATGACCCCCTCAGACCCATCAGCAATGCTGGGCTCACTGGAGCACTGCCTGTGGCTAAAACTGGGCTGCAGGAGGAGGCATTTGTCAGTGCTGTCGGATTCCTCAATCACCATTCCCGTGTGCATCATGGAGGCCATCGCCAGGAGCTGAATATCTGAGTGGGCGTTGGTGACAGTGTGGCGACGGATGCTACCACATTTCTCCAGGTAAGCCTCACCCTCCTGCTCTGTCAGTGGGGTCAGGGCCATCTCGCTGGGCTGCCGGCTCGTCACCACGTGAGATGAGTAATTCAGTATGCCAGCCTTAGGACGGGATCTGGAGTACCGTCTCTCTGGAAGAGAAAAAGGAAGCAGGAACGGTCAATGGGGTGCAGACAAAGCATTGCCCAAACTGCTCGGCTGGCCTCAGGGAACAGAGAAGACTCAGTGTGCAACCACAGAGCATCCCACCTCATTACCACCCAGGAACAGTCAGGTGCTCATTAGTTCATGCTGCTGGGGATTTGGGAAGGAAGTCTGCCTCTCCCTCCCATCCCGCTGTAAGGCAACGGTGCCACTGCCTGCAAGAGAAGCGAGCCAAAAACCAACGAAAGCAGCAAAGGGACTTTCTTCAGCATCCTGACGGTCTCCTCTCTTACCCAGGGGGGCGAGGACTGAGTAGTAGCTCTCACATGCAGGTTCACTGAAATCAGTGACACTAAAGTGGCACAAGTCCTCAAAGAAAAGTTCAGTGAGGACCTGAGTTGCCATCCCTTTCTCTGGAAAATTTCTCTCAGGAGATGCCATCAGCTGGCATCACCACAGATTTCCTGATGCCCACATTGCACTGCCTTTCCAGGTGCCCAGGGAAAGGCTGTCCTGCTAGCACTATCCCACCATATTTTTTAAAGGTTATTCAGGAAAAAGAACGCTTCATTGACTTTAAAACATGTCTAGTTTGGGGGTGAACACCTAGCAGTGCACAGCAACAGCCCACAACAGCCTGAGGGAAGGCACAGAAGAGGAAGGCAGCACTGGTGGAGCATGGGGGAAGCCAGCAACACAGAATTGATGGGTGTGGGCTCTAAAATCTGCTCAGCAAAAAGATTAAGGGGGGAAAACGCCCAGTTTAAAACTCAAACCCAAGGTGCAGCCCCCAGCCCTGTATCGTGAAGCAGCATTTCAGCTCCAACACGGAAAGCTCGAAGAAGAGCAGGGGGCTGAGTTCGTGCCTTGGCTCACTGTAACTCACTCCTCTGGCAGGCTGAATCAGACAGCATTACTTTTCACCCGCCGTCTTCCACCACCGTGCAGCACTGCCACGAGGTGTTGAATACCTCATGTTGTCTACCCAAAGCAGCTGATAATAAAGCTATTCCCTAACTGCCTGTTGCCAACTTCCTTGAAGCGCAGGGTCTCATTTCATAAAGCCAGAAGCCTTTAAGCCATACAAAATATTTCTACCAAGACTACAGAGCATAGGATGTGGCGTAACAAAACACAAAGCAAAGCACTCATCACCGAAGGTTATAAGAGAGTTTTGGAAGCTTGCACCAAGAAGAAAAAGCAGTTTCGTTAAACTCTGTATTGTTGCAGGGAGGAACGGGTGAGTAGCCAAAACTCTGTCACTGGCAGCAGCCAAGCTATGACAGCACTCCGCTGCTGCCAGTAATACATGCAGTCAAAACGGTTCATTTCGTGCTTAAGAGTACATGCAAATAATTTTTGAGGCTGATTAGGGTAAATACACTCTTTAGGTGTCATCTGCAGCTCAAGCCACAGCAAGCTGTAGTGTTGGAGGGCATCAGGACCCAACTCTTGAGGAAAAAAATCCACATATGATTTTTTTGCAACAAAATTAAAAGCCTTTATGATGAGAATCAGCAAAAAATTAGGCTAAACACTGAACATTCATTGATTGCTTCACTTTTCCCCCTTTACTTTCTTGGCCACAAAAGACAGTCTCTTAAGGGAGTTGTTGTGCATAGTTTAACTAGAAATTTCATTTCTATTTTGGTGTATTATGGTCAGGAACATAAACTGGGAGGAGTTTTCAAGTGATTTTTTGCAAGCAAACTCAAACCAGCAGTGATTTCAGGTTTAATACATGGGGGGAATAGGGTGAATGTTTTATCTTCTTCCCTATTCCAAATTTGAACATTGTTTCTTAGGCAACAGGACACCTTCAGCATACTCCATCCTCTCCACACCTTACAATGCAGGGTACAGGTAATTTACATGGCAAGGCAAGAAGGGTGGTAATAACAGAAGGGCAGGTGCGGACGCTGCCCTCTACAAATCTGTGAGCTGTGCTCACCCGCCCCTGCTGCACTCCTCTTCCACTTCAAATCAACTTTATGGTACAGCAGCCGGCTGTAGCCTGTGGTGCATTCACAGCTGTGATCAGACACCTTCGGTCACACTTCTCAAGGCTCATTTGCCTTGAAGGCTCTGGTCCAGAGGGCAGTTTGGCCTCCACAGCATCCGTTGAGAATGCAAGCGCACCCAAAGCCCAGCAGTGCCTTTCTGAAAAGCTACTAGGGGGAACCAGCTGGGCTTCATCGCCATTACAGGCTGCCCAGTGAGAGAAGCAGCTGGTTCTGAGAAAGCAAAAAGGTGACAGAAAGAGGAAAAGGAAGAGAAAGAAGTTGGATTGGAAGTGGGAGTTAAGGAAAAGAAACCACCACCACAGCAGCACTCTGAAAATACGGAGATTATTTGCAGAAAAGTGCTGCTCTGCTGTCAATGTCATGTAATGTAAACACAAGCTCACTCCTTCATCCCACTCAGCACAGGACAGAGCAGGGGCAAAAGGCTACCTTGGAAAACCATACAAATAAATGACAGCTAAAATCAAAGTAAAAATACTTTAAGGCACATAAACTTTACAAGGCCAGTTCATGTGAACTTTTTTATTTTAATGACACTAAAGCCTTGTTCAGCTGGCGGAACTCCAGGATGGCTAGAAACCTCTGTACAGGTCAGGCTACCTTTCAAATTATCCCAGCAGCATGCAGATGTCCATAAACAGCAAGACAATCAAATTTGTCAAAGTTCAACTTTTACAGGGCAGTGTGGTCTACATTTAGCCTCAGGATCAGTTCTGTGAAATCAGTGCTGACCCCTATAACCATGTTCACTTGCATAAAGGATATTTAATTGCCCAACAACCACAAGAACAAAACCCCTGAGCTATAGTTTGCCTAAAGCGATGCCATGAGTTACAGGCACAGATCACTGGGCCCTGGTAAGTCCTGCTACTGCAAGTCCATCTTTTACCCTGTGCTGCTAAGGAGTAACACAAGGCAGGCTCTGTGTCTCCGGCCTGCTATGATTTGCATTGAAGCAAAGGCTAGAGCTTATAAAAACAGAGGGAGACTAGAGCTTTCTTCACTTGCTCTATTTAAATCGTCTTGACTATCCAATCAGTATCACTACGCCCACTCCGTAGGTAGCCAACCCCTTCTGGCTGGCCATGCATGTAGGCAGAGCTCCTGGCTCAAGTGTGCAGAAGCTTTCCACTATAAGCATCCCCTTCCTGAAATGAAGTGCCATTTCCCTCACCTAGGCCCATTCACCCACAGCTCAAACACAAATTTTTATTTCTTTTTAAACAGAGTCCTCAGATGGAAGGAAGACTTCACGCAAAAAAAAAACCTGTAGGCCCTCAGCATGAGCATGCAACAGCTAGGCTGTTTGCAAAGGCTGGCTGATGCAGCAGTGAGCGTGGGAATGCTGGCAGCCAGAGCAGGCTAGTGAGCCCGGACAGAGAGCAGGAAGCAAAGGACAGGGTGCAGTCTCTTCCTGGGGTGAGAGCAGTACACCAGGCACAGACCAGGGAGTTTCAAAATCCAGCCCATCTCCAGAAAGAGGGGAGATGTTGTATGTGTGTGCGCGCAGTTGTGGGGCAGAACTAGTTCACTTGGTCGCGGAAAATAAAAAGCCTGTCACAAAAATCTACATTCAGAAACATATTGACCAGGACCTTCTCGAGGGTGTTTCAGCCTTTGTTTTCTGTGTTTCATGGAGTCATGCACTGTCTCCTTTCCTAGCAGATGTGCGCTGCCTCATTAACCAGTCCGTGTAACCCAATAAGAGCTCCTGCAGGACACACATGTCTTACCAAGCAGGCAGGTGCTCCCAGAGAAGCTAAGATCCTCACATAAACCCAAGTACGGCGATACCACCTGCTTGACCAGTTCTTCCAGCTGCAGGTAGCCCTCACTGGGGCCAGTAGGCTCATGGACACTCTGAAATTCAAACATAAAAAGTCAACATTACCCATATATAGCTTTGAGTAAGGTTTTTGAGTAAAGCCTGTGGTCTGTCAAATATCTCTGCTCTGGAATATCCCAGCCATATTGGTGGGCCATTTGGAGGAGCGCAGCTGATAAGCCCAGACAGAGGTTCAGATGCCATTCAGGTCAGCCTCCTTGTTCAAGTCACAGCCATAACCCTAGGGACACTGAGCAGCTAGCTGTCTTTTTTCTGACCAAGGGACAGGAAGGTACAAGGTACGCTCACCCGGGGATTTGCACGGTGTAACTACAGCAATATAATCATACCAGGGCAGTTTGACCAGGAAACATCCCTGTAGAAAAGCCTTAACACACCTTGGGCAAAGCACTGCTCTTCTCCTAGGCAGGCCTGCAGGAAAAGCACCCGCTGCAGTTGAGCTAAGAGCTGTGAAGATGGCAGATAACACTAACCAATTTAACAGTAATTTCAGAAACCGCTCACAGACTTAACTTCCTGCAAAGCCTCAGTAAGTTTTTCTTTTTCAAATGTGTCGCTTTGAGACCCTCTTCACCCTCCAGATTCTTTTATTAAAATATTGCCGGGAAATGGAGCTAGCACTTCAGTATCTCCTGCTGTTACAGTCTGGGTCACTGGGAACATCAGAACAGCGAGAACTCATACCAAAATACCAGCTTAGCCACTTCGCAATTCTGATTTCATTCCTCACCACTCATTATAATAAGGTATATTGGAGAAGAAATAAAAGCGAGAGGAACCCAAACAGCCACCTGTAATGGCATTGTGCAGGACTGCCATGTTGGGTGATATAAAAAGGTAAGAAGGCTGGTATACTTGGCTGTATTTGACATGCTTGGAAAATACTCTCTCGAAGTCTGGATAAAGAGGATAGTCCTCACAGAAGGTCTGGGTCTCTTGGGAGAGGCCTTTGGAAGATCTATAGTGTTTTTGCCTGTAGCCAAAAACTGTTCCTCCTCTCATGGGCACTGCTCAGTGTCCCGGCCAGCCAAGGGGATGGCATCAGGCAGCCAGCAGCCACAGCTCGTTCAAATTCCACAATCTGCTGTGATGGAGACTCATCCTCTCATTGCAAAGCTGAGAAACCAAGAAAACTAGGGCACAAAGAGGCATTCAGAGAAACTAGGAGGTGAAAATTTATCTGAAAAAGACAGTCTTGAGACTGTTCCTCACTGAGGAGGAGACGTACAAAAAAACCCCACAAACAGCAAAGAGCAGAGCCTGTCCCTTTCATGGCAACATCCTTAACTGTTCCCAGGAAAGCTCAGGACATTCAAATTCAGCTCTTATTTCTACATTCATCACTCTCAAATAAGCACACATCACTTCCCCTTCATCACACCCTCCACCCTCCCCACACCCCTTTCCAGGGTTCATATTAGTCCAACAAGGTCAAGATAGCCAAGTGGCATCAGATGAAGAAGAGCAGAGGCTCCCTACCTGCAGAATTAACAGCATCTGGACAATGGAAGCTGGGGGCTTTGTCTGGACTAGAGGAAGAATTTCTTCCAACTTCACTTTTAGCAAGACCAAGTCTCTGAAGCCAAGAAGAGCAATCTGACGAATAGTCAACTCCTGACCCTAAAAAACACAGAAGGCAAAATCCGCACATCGGTAAAGGGAGGTGTGAGCATCACACCAACACAAGTATGCACACAGACAGAAAGGGTCTATCCTGCCCATTGCTGCTGTGGCAAAGCATCCCACAGCTGCTCAAGCTGAGGATTCATGGTACTCTCTGGCCACTTCCTTCTCAGTCTCTGTCCCACACAAATTCTGTGCAACACCTCATCTGAGGCACCACTAGGTTTGGAGTGAAGCCAGAAATGGGCATCTATTTCACCAAAAGACTACGTATTCATGAAACCCAACTGCCTTCCAATTTGGTGACAAACATCCAAAGCCCAGGAGGGATGCCACTTGTGTTTTTGCCACTCAGAGCTGAGAAATCAGAGAACATTTGGCAGGTACAACATGTTCCTGAGCCTACCTCTGGTCTGTGTTGGATCCTCTTTTTGCTCAACTTTGGACCTTGCTGATACGACAAAAATCCACAATTCAGTCCATTACAGATTTTAGGATTCAGGCTAGAGCAAAGCCAGCAAGACTGCTTGTACCAAATATCATTTCAAAAAGCAACGGCTTTGATTTTCACCGCAAGGCGCTCCGTGTCCTCGCAGTTACCTTTTAACACCAACACCATAAGTGAGCAGGCTTAACAGATGCTGCTGCTGTAATATTTCCCGGCATATTTAAACACAGTTGGACTCCATTAGGCATTCTGGTGTTACCGCCTTTCCTTCTGCTATGCTGGACATCTGCACGACTTTCTCTTGCCCCACTACAGCTTAACAGCAGAAATTTTCCTCCCAGCCCTGCCCAGCACTTCCTGGCCTGAAGAGTTTCCCTTGTTCTTCCCAGCACGTTAATCTCTGCCCCATGGTCTGTTTGGGAACCATTTTATGGTCTCCATAACACACTCAACACGGCAAATATTTAGCTGGAAGGAATGAACAGCAGTTAATCATTAACTCATAATGGGTTTAATGTCATAATTAACAGCATCATCAATATGTAAATGCAGATTAAAGCAAATAGTCTGGAGGGCAGATTGGCCATAATAAAAGCGCTTTGCTGTTTTAAACCATCGCTGCGGGTTTAGAAACACAGAGGTGTAGAAAAGACAGGTACTTATCTCTGAACTATATTTCATCAGCTGCACATTTTTTATTTATATCATGGAGTTTAGTCCTACTAAGTTCATACCCCATTTCAAAATGCAAACATTTTCTGTGCCAAACAAAACAAGATTTGCGATACTTTTTCCACACCAAGTAGTTACATCAACAACTGTAACTATACAAAAGCCAGTGACCTGTTTACATAGTTTCCCTCTGTACAGCAATTTAACCAACTTTGCTGCTTAAAGGTCATATTTCTGCAACAGCTATGAGCCTTGAGTTTCAACTCGGCCGAGATAGGGAGTTACTCCTAGTTACCACCTTTGATAACATATGCTCTCACATTTGTCTGGCTGACTTTCATTCTGAATGGGCACTCGCTGGGATCACAGAAGAGTACAACTAAATAATCACGTTGACATTTGCAGCAAAGGATGGGGAACCGACAACAAATTGACTTTCCCATCTACCAGCGCGTTGCATGAAGAACCGCAACTTGGTGAGAGAGATTTGCTAGACAAGCTCTCCTCACACATGGTGACACCATACAGAATAGGCACATGCAGTTCCCTGTTTGTAGGATGAGCCCAGTCTTGTTATTAGGGCATTGGCCTGGGATAAGAGCAATTTCTTATTTCTTGCTGCACAGCAACTCTTTCTGTTGTAGCCTAGGGCAGCTTACTCAGAGTCAAATTCTTGGAGGTATTTATGCAGTTTAAATCTGTACATTTGCATGGGACTTAGTGCCTACAAAGCTTTAAATATGCTGTCTGTTACCTCATTCATAAAATGGCAATACTTCCCTAACTTCACAGCTTCTATAAAATATTTTTGAGCCACTCGGATATTTTGACAAGACAAACACAGCAAGAAAGTTATGCTTTCAAACAATCTCAACATGCCCCAGTCACGCTTTCACCGCTACCAGCAGGTTACTTCCAAAAGCTGCAACCACTGTGCAGTAACTATTGTTCAGTTTCTCATTCAGACATTTAATAACAGGGGAGTGCATTTTTCTGATAAGCAGCAGAATTACTAGCATCGGTGGGTACTGCACACAGTTAGCTCAGCTGTTTCCACAGGGCACAGAGAGCTGCAGTGCAGACAAGCTCCTGCTTACACACATTAGGTCGCTCCCTGAATTAGAATAAGTCGCAAAAGGAGAAAGGGAAGGCATTATAATTGTGCAGTTTTACCTGCCAAACACCTACCTTTAAGCATCTGCAGCAAGGAAAGAATAAAAATAAACACAGCAGAAAGGTTAGTGTCTGTCTTTGCAGAAGTCCTTTAGGAAATGCCAGCTTTAACAGGATTAGAGGAAAATGGCAACCTTTGAGCTTTATCTGCTGCTTTTCAAACAATACAGGGGAAAAATAATTTCAAAAGGCTCTGGAAAGCGTTTCTTGTGGAAGAGGCAAAAGTCAAGAGGAGGAGGCTAGCATTTCCAAGAATGTCAGTCTCCTCATGAGCCAAGTTCTTTTTTTCCTCTGATGGAAGACAAGATCAAAATAGGCTGGGGAGATACTTAGACTGTTCATACGGAAATCCTCACTAAAACTATATCAAAAAATGATACAGCTCAACACTTCTGATGGGATAGTCAGCTTTCAAAATACCCAGTGCAAACAGGTCTTACATAAAGTTGTTCGTTCATCCTCTACCCACAGATTTACTTGTTCTGTTATTAAAGCTCCAAAAAACCCAACAGAGGATTTTCCAAAGGCACAACTGGGACATGAGCCCTCCAAAAGTAGCTAGGGTCAGTTAAACACATTTGCTCTTGATCTAGTCTTCAGATTTGTCCCTCTGAAGAGCAGGGGTACAAGCTGTCAGTGCTGTCATCTGCACCAACAGTCCCAGGTGTTTAAAAACAGAAGAACTATAAATACAAATGTCCCAGAGCTTCAGTCTAGACAAGGTGTAGTCCAACAGTTTCAGTGTTCAAACTTAGCTAAGCATGGACAGAGGGCAGACAAATGGGAATAAATTCAGCCCAAAACACTGTGCTTGCCCAGTAGATTTTAGTAGTCCTTCTTAGACAGCCAATGCTGACCTGGGCAAACTCTACTTCCTCCTGGATTTAGTTTAAAGTTTTTGAAACCAGTTTAGCCACTGCCCAAACAGTGCTGCTGGAACAGAAGTTTCCACATGCCATTCACAGACATTGCAGGTAGATTGCTTCACCTGACTGAAGACTGAATTAAAATTAAGATTACCTGGACTGGGTAGAATATTGCCTGGAGCGTAGGAAGAGTCTCTGTGAAATAGTGATCCCAGATTTCAGACAGGACATCAATGCGATCCTCACCTATGAAAACAGAGCAAGAAGGAGCAAGAGCTTTAGTGGCAAGGACACTAAAATCAAGCTGAATTTTCCCACTGCTCTCCCCAGAGTAAGAGATACAAACCCACCCTTCACATTCACAGTTGCCATCCAAAACTGGACATTGCTCAGCTAAGCTTCGCCTTAACTGCCAGAGACACAAGGCTGTGACCATAAATTGCTCTGTCACTTGCTGCTACGAAGACAGCGCTACGCAAAACATGAGACCAATCCCAACAAAAGAGTGAAGGCCCCCTTCAACTGGAAGCTTTACCACCACAGCAAAGGACTGTGTAATCTCACAGTTAGCACGCTCGAATAGCGTGGGAGCTCAGCCACACAGCAGCAGCTGAGTCTGAGAGCCAGCAGGTCACAGCCAGGATCAGCTGTTCTGTGGCAACAGAGTCAGAGAGACCACTTACAAGAGCTGAGCCCCCTCCAGTGTCCCCCCACTCCCAAGCACAGACACAGCAGTCAGGACCCTAACGAGCCACAAAGCCACAGCATGCCTCTCAAACGTGGCACTTGGGGAGGTTCCCGAACTAAATCCACTCGTGGCCACCCCTCATAAGACTCTGACTCGAACAAATATCCCCAAATGCAAGTGGGTATTTAAAATGAAGGCAGACGGAATTATGCGACTCATGATTCCCATAATAGGAATATAACTGTGGTCAAAAGCCTATTATTAACAAAAAATGCTTTACTGAACGTAATGGTTTGAACACACACTGTAAATTATGCTCATAGGCTTGACTTACAGAGCTGTGTGTTCCTCAGCATTTGAGCCCAAAACCTCTAAGTTTTTTAGATCTCTGCCATCCCAAAGGCCAAAGGTTTGTAGTGTTTTTGCAAGTTTTAGGTACATTTCCCAGAAATTTCAGGTGCAAATACAGACCCAGGTTTAATAACACAAGTTTCTGATAAAAGGATTTTCCAGGATGCCTTCCACAGAGCCCTAGCTGGAGCTCACAAGCAGCCAAGACTCAAGGAGCAGTCATGGCATGGCAGACATGCTCCAGACAGCTTCGAAGGCTCGGCCTGAAGGTGAGTAAAAGAACTGGAACACACATAAAATTGCAACTCAAAGGAGCCTTATCACCGTGTACTGAAGTGCTTTCCCCACCTGGAGACTTCCACACGGGCTTTCACTGTGCTTGCCCGTAGGTGGTGCTGCTTAGGACACAGCCAGAGAGCAGAGCCAGCAGGACCAGACCCTGCACCCGTTCCCTTTTGAGCAGAGTGCCCACCAACGACGGCAGGAGGGTTCAGAGGGAGGGTTCAGAGGGAGGCTTCGCTGTGCCAGGTGCAATGACTGCTTCAAAACTGGAACTGCAGGCAGATGAGCACCTACCCAACATCCCCATAACAGCTACCCACCACCAGAAACTGCCACTCTAAGTGAAAAAGACAAAAGGAAACAGAGTAATTGAATGTTTAAATTTTCCCCTCCTCTGCCTCCTCCCCAGCACTGCGACACTCTGCTGTGCAGAGCCGGAATGAAATGTTAGGTCACTTCTCCTTCTGAAGGGGAAGGGGGAATGGCTTGTTTCTCCAAGAAACCATAAATCCTACAGGCATGGAAATTCTGTAGAGATTCTGACAGACTGTATAAAGAAAAATCATGTTAAAATAAGAGGCTGCGATTTGAAAAACAGACATAGTGAAACATTGCCATGCCCTGCAGCAGGAACGTCATTCCATCTCCAAGTACTGGGACAGCAGAAATTTTCCAGGAAGACAGAGCTAACCGAGAAGCACGTACAAGAAGTTGTTGTTGCTGTGACCACAAAACCTGTAACAAGCCTACACATTATGAAAGAAAGGTGTCCATGAGTCATCTCCTGCAGAGCTGCCAGCCTGCATGGGCAAAGTGGCTCCAGCGTCACTGCAAACTAGGGACCAAAAAATGAGGCGTAGGAAGAGGGTTTTGCTGTCTGCCTGGGAAGCTTCATCTTACCTCAACTATTTGAGTAACTGTGAACTACTCCCTGGCAGCTCTCAGCTTGCGACAGACAGGAACTCAATTTTCACAATTAATTGAATTAAAACAGATATTAGGATAGTTTTATATGAACAGAGAGAACAAAACCTATGATAAGCTGTGCAGCACTCATTCTGAAGAGCTAGCAGCGGCCAGAGAGGCACCCGTCTTTGGGAAAATGCATGAGTCTGCCTTTTTTCCTTCCTTACAGGGCCAGGGCCAAAGAAGCACGCACAAAGCAGGAGGCTGGCAAGCGCACAGCTCCTTCAGGGTCTGAGTCCTACAGCCTGCTGGCTGGGCAGAGAAGTCACTCTGTGAAGAACAGAGCAGAGGAATCCAGCACCAACAATGATGCGAGATTGTAAGTGTCTATTCACATTTAATGACCCAGTTACAGCAGGCTGGTGATTAGCAAGGGATCTTCCCTACAGGCTACAAAACTGGGTCAAAGCAAACAGCAGCCTAATTTTGAATAAAGACATGTGCCCTAGACAGCTCGCTCTGCTTGATCAAACTGTTAATAAATGTGACTAACTCCCCACACACCCAACACAGGCTCTGCAGTAGCAACAGAACTCCACTTGTGATGGACTTCTTTCCTGAAGGATTTCATGCCCACCCAAGTGACTGGTTTTTTCTGTAAGCTTACACACAGCCTGTCAGTTCAGCTCTCCAAAGCATGATATGGTAACCAAAATTGTGCTTACAGTGAGCTGCGGATGATACTGAGAAATAAAAGGCAGAAGGCAGCTCTCGGCAGTTTTGCAACAGGACCCGTGTCCAGCCCAGCACTGCTTTGAGCCCAGGCTCAGCTGCCACACGAGACCCATGCTCCTGCTCTCGCAATAAAGACGCAGCTGGTGGGAGTGTTGCAGCTATGTGGCTATTCAACCGCCCCTCATCCCTTAATCCTTACAAGGGCTGTGGTGCAACCTGGCTCTCCCAAGGTTGCATGACACCCTGAGGCAGTACCAGAAAGGGCTGTACACTTTCCAGACATGCAAGTCATCTTATCTGACCAAACATCAAAGCACAACTCCTTTCCCGAATGGGTTTCTTACTATACTTGCCTTCACACAGCTTAACCTTCTCCTCTATAAACAGCAAGCCTTTCGCAAGGAGTTGGTTCTGCCAAGAGAGAAGAGAGATATGCGTTTGCCTTTTCTGAGGTTTAAAATAAACATGGAAGAATTAATTTTTTTCAGATGTTATCCACTTTGCATGCAGTTATCTAAAGATTAGTCATATCGCAGTACTTTCTCCCAGCACTGCCACCAGACCTGGTCTCTGGGTGCTGTACATTCATTAACCCCCTCCTGTTCAGCCAGACAAGAGAACACAGCAGACAGAGTAGACAGCTAGAAAACGTGCCAGAAGTGGGAAGGAAGGACCTATCCCAGGTCACAAGGAGGGACAGAAGAAAATGAAATGGTTCTTAACAGAAGAGTGCAGCCACATAAGCTATACCTCAGCTGTATGATGGAGGTGACCAAAGGGCCAAATGCTACCAAAACGTCCCACTCTCTTCTTCCTTTGCACTAGCTTGGCGCTTGCCCAACTACACAATAAGCCAGCTCAGCTCCCTAGCCCTCACTTCTCTATTCCTACCTATTCTCTTTCTATGAGGCCATTTTTTTTTTTTGCTGTATCAAGCAGTTGGATCATCTTAGTGTGCAGTGTTAAGCTGCAGAATAAGCAGCAGGAGACAGTCTTTCTAGATAAACTGAACTATCATGGACCAGACACGTCAAGGTATCGATGTGCCTGTTTGCAGTTCAGGACATCTAAATATCTGATAAGTTTTCTGTTCCCATTTCCCCAAACATAAGAACGGCACAAAAACACCACCTACCTTTTTGTTCTCCCACCAGCGCTAGGAGGATCAGTTATTCTGAAAAGCTTTGAGAATCCCAGAGAAAGGAGCTGCAATCACCACACAACATGCTATTACAACATCCTAAAAGGTTCAGTCCTACCACAGAGATCATATTGACAGAGAATAAAGCCTTCAGTCCCTCTGAAAGGACTCAATATCAGGGTAGTGCACAATATTCAGAGACACCTCTCTCATGTTCATCCTCCAGCTTTTAACAGGTAACCAGGTCAAGGCTGCACCTCAAGAGTCCTACTCGGTAGCATCAGACATCATTGAAATGTGTAGAAAAGGAAGGGCTCTTCCTTAAAACAGCATCTAATCAGACAGACTCCAGCAGTCGTTCGTGAGTAGGTTGACAATGAGGAACTGAAGAGACCACCATACATCCTATCAGTAAGGAAACACCTCTGGATGCATTGTCCTGGTGGAGAATTTAAATTCAAACAGCTGTCACGTAGGAAAATACTGACATTAATAAAATCAGGGGCTGAATTCAAGATTTTGCTTTGGAATCTCACTTCATGCAAGATGAGCTCTGACACCCTTTGGGCTGGGTGCCACTGCGATACCAGCAAGAAATTTTTCCAATGGCAATATGTCCTTGTCAAGATTTCAGCAAAAAGGGCCTGAAGAAAGAACAAGTTATATATGCTCACTGGTCACCACACGTGCTACGGGTAGCAGGTGGAACTTCCATGAAGTTTCCTCTCGAGTCAAGACAAGACTGCACGGACTTTGTCTTTGTGGCGTGAAAGAAGTGTGGTGGGTGGCTCTTGTCCCATCTCATGGCTACTTCATCCACACTAAAACTTTTAACTCATGTTTTGCTACAACGGCTTACTTGTCTTAAATGAGCCAGATGTAAGTGCTTTTGAGACACTGCTTGAAAAAAAAACAAACCAATAACCTGCATCCCCTAATGTTTATCCAGTCACAACGTAAGGAGGAACAGCCACCCAATTCAGCAGTGTAAGCTCTGCTAGTAGCAATAATGGCTAAACACTGCAGAGTGCATACCAGGGAAAAATAATTAATGGTCATACCTGTAAGGAAGGTAATTCGGCCCTGCTACCAGGTGGCTTTTTTTCAGAATTCAAACCCAAAAATATTTAGTATGGTCTTATTCTCAAAATAATGTAGAATTTAACCACAGCATTTTAGGAGCAACACATAGGATGACACATTATTTGAACCACCCATCCAAGTCACAAGACTTTGCCCTTTACTAACTCTAGCAGAGTACAAATGCAATCCTGTCCATGCAGTACCGTCAAGCTATAAACAAATTTCAGCACTTTCCTATTAACGCACCATAGGAATTTCAGTACAGGAATCAGAGCTGACTTGGACAGTCCTGTTTGTCAGAGGAACACCCCAAAATTGCTATTCTGCACACAGGTAACCGCGTGGAGACGGGAACCCAAAGCACTTTTGCATGTGACCTTGTGAACCCGCTCACAAACAGGGTGCGAATGACTCTCTTGCAGCTGAAGAGCTGAGGATGCCCACAGGTGTAAAAGTAGAGCTCTGGCAACACTGCAGGCAGCAAAGTGGCTGCCTCCAGGCCTCATGCAGGGCACAGCTCTCTGCTTAGGAGTGCACGCTTTGGTCTTGGCTGACTCCTTTCATGCCTCCTCCACGACCTGTGGTGTCTCACCCTGCTTACAACAGCTTACTCAGGTTTTGCCATAGGTTTATTCTGAAAACAAGTCCACTTTCTGGGGATTTTTGGACTCTCGAATT